GGAAGTTTGGGTGGATATCTCATGTCTCCTTCTCCCAGTTTTTATGTGTTCCATTTGGATGGTGGGTTCCCCATGAAGTTTGGTCGACCTTCAACGGATTCCTTTTGCTACCACGGAGGCTAGGCAGGCGGGGGTTCGGTTTCTCGCCATGCACACGGCAAATCTTCACAGTTGCGAATGCGGGAAGCAAAGACCGGGAAGGAGGGGAAGGATTGGGGAAGTTCTGTGAGATTTGGGGGTGACTTCGAGCATCCCTGTTGCCCACCCGCTTCTTTGTTTGCCCGAATGATGCCAATACCAGTTGAGGGTAAAACGGAATCTCCCCACATAAGGTTACCTTAGGAACTACGTACTTGAGGACGGTGAATTATCAATAGCCAGGAGTTCAGAAACCATTGAAACTTCTCTGGGGAGAGAATTCTTGCGAATGCTTCACAGGGGCTTTACTAGGTCAAAGTTTGGTCACAACTTCTCATTTTTACGGACCGCTATAGGGAGGGTGGGTTGGAGCCTATGAGGGCTTCTCCTTAGCTTATCCTGGGGTTATCCAAGGACAACCCCGCCCCCCAGTTGGAGGTCCATGATGAGCCCAGCTGGATTCGAGACTCAGTGCCTATTCTGAAGAAGAAAATGCTGGGAAACCCCGATATCCTAGATCCCACGACCGGTTTCGCGCACTCCTTTTCACATGGCTTCGCGTCCAAATCCGGGCATTTTGAGGGCAGCGGGCAAGCGACAATGTGGATTCGGGTATGAGTTTCATAGGACGGACCTTACATAACTTCTTCTAAACACATGTTCTACATTCCCCGCTCAAGGATCCCAATCTCTTCAAATGGGCCACGTCTCCAAAGCAACGAGCGACGAGGATGATTGGAGTCAACCCTCAGAAAAAAAGAAAACAAAGAAAACAACAACATGGAGGCACTCAAAATGAGAACACATCCAGGAGAGTCCAACTCGCGGATCCTTATGAGTTCGGGTCGAAGCGCCAGGACGCCTCGGCGGATTCCGCCGCAGTGTTCGTGACCACCGGCAGCCAGCGCCTACGCGAGCTCGAGCTCGGGGGAGGAGCGGGATGAGCCCATGGCCCTGTGGATCCCACGTAAGCCGCTTGAGCATAGGTGTCCTTTTTGGTTGTTTTGCTTGAAAAATAAAAGGCGGTGGTTCAATCATCTACCAGGGCCGTCTTTTTTCCATATCCACACCTATGCACCTTGGTTACTGGTATGGCCGACATACAAGTCCCGCCGCTCAGTGAGGGTATCCTTGGTTAGGTAACCCAAGTGGGCAACCGCTTTCTAACTTCAACCATTTCTCTCCTTCGTTTATCGGTTTGTATTGGTGTCCCTTGGACGTGAACAGTCGGTCCATTTGTTGGTTGAGGTCTCCAGTACTCTGCCCGCTAAGAGTCGGTGTACCAGAGAGGGTAGAGATTCGGGGGGGGGCTTTTATTATTGCCAGGAAACTCACCCTCAAAACATGTGTTTGTGTAGAACGCAAAAAGCCCAACTGCGGTAAACTAGAGGGTTTGCAATATGGCACCTCAGTCTTAGTTGGGGCTTATTGACCCCACATTTACCGGAATTGTTCTTTAATCGGGGTTGGCTGAGGTTTGGTTCAGGTGGCAATGAAACCTTTGAACCAGCATAACGTGAGTCGGCACCTCTACCGACAGTCCCCTCGTATATGCAGGCACAACGGTCCAGCACATGGGTTTAAAGCCATCATTTTACATTCAGTTCACGAAGCTTGCTTGAATCCCCTCAGCCCTATTCCTCACTCCCTGAGTTCTTGGACTTTTCACTTTTTGGGACAACACCATTTCAGTTGTGAGTAAACAGTTTGGTTACTTTTCTTGGCCAATCCACTCCCTCGAAAGTGAGGTTCGACTTATTTGGCAGCCCTTGTGAGACAACCCACGGTGTTTGTTCCTCCAGGCATCACCTCGGCGGTGAACGTTGCTGCGGCCTCAGAGCAAAGCTTGAGGTGTGTGTGTGTGTGTCTCCAAGCATCTAGATATATAGATGGTTTTTGGCTCTGCACTGTTTCCTGGACCCCAAAATGCCGCGCAGGGCATTATGCGGTGACCGCTGATTGATGGCATCGGATCGAATAGCGAGCCATGGTGCTTCCATTTCTTTGCGCCTAGCCGCAGGTTGTGGTCTTCGAGCTGAAAGATTTGGCGGTATGTTGTCAAGTGCAGACTGTGGAAGTTGTCACTTTCCGAAGTGGGGGAGTTGATCTGAGTTCCTTGGGCTTTCGTCACTTTTTGGATCTGGAGCAGTTGGTGGCAAGCAGAAAGTTTTGGACTTTGTTTGGGCAATCCACACAGGAATTGGGTGTAAGGGCCTGAGGCACTTCAGTCATGACCTTCTGGCTTGTCTTGCCTTGAACCCTAGAGATGATTAACGGGGCGACCATTTTGGTTGCAAAAGGAAGCCGACACCATTTTGAGGATTCCCGAAAGGAAGCCGAAGCCATTCAGCCGTTGCTTTTG